CATGTTAACAGTCTCATTATTTAACTAATAAGATACGTAAAAGTGTTTGTTTGATATTTCCTGCATCTTTACAACATTGTTAGTTGATTATGTAAAAATGATGGTAAACTTGATATCGTGTATTGTGTAATAAAGTGTCAAAAATGGAAATAAACTCATATCATATCATATTGCAGTTTGTTAGATTCAATCATCAACTATGTTCAGAATCTCAGAATGGAGGAAATTGGACATTTAACACTGTTCTATTGATATTTTTCCCATCTCATCAATTTTCTTAGTTGGTCATATAAAAATGGAAGTATACTGTTTATTTTGTTTTGTTTAAAAAGTGTTAAAATGGAAATAAACCCATTTCAGAACAGTGCTGTCTTTTTTACAGTTTGGCATTTTTAAGATGTGACTTTACAGTTCCATGAGCCTGCAGATCTTTGCTTGTCACATTTTCTGAATATCCATGATACTAATATTTTATGATTAAAAATTGATGGTCATTATGCTGTAAAACATTATGTAATATTGCATCAAAATTTGAAGAAACCCCTATTTTGGGCACTGCTCCCATGATGACCATTTAAGGAAAGTCATGTCACTTACTGTTCTCAAACTTACAGGAAAGAAACATGGGACTAAAATACAGCTTCAGTAGGCAATGCAGTCTGTTTGGTAAATTTTTCATCTTTATTTTCTGTTTTTTGTCTGTACATTTGACAGCTTTGCTGCCTTGTTAAGATATTAGATTATCTGCCAATACACTTTTTATTTAAATATTAGATTATCTGCAAATATATTAAAACCCCTTTTTTCCAATCTTTAATCTTTAGTAATAATACGAATAATCAGCATCGTATGTAAATCTGATTTGTAACTGTCATCAAGAATTTATTCCAATCGACCTTGACCTTTACAGACAATTGTTTCCACTGTACCATTCCCATTACATATCATATGATAGAATTTGATTAAGTAACTTATAAGTTCATGTGACTTCGGTAGTTATCAAACATTTATCAGAGAAGACAGGAATGTTATTTTTGTCCCATCATTTTTCCAAGTATAAAAGAAACATGATTATTGATTCTGTTCCCTTTGTGTGAGATATAAGAGAAGCCCTAGAGCAATCGATAAATACAGCTAATTTTGAGCCACATTGAATCATTAGCAAATACTTTTTTCTATCCCCACAGGTGCATGCAAGGAAATGTACATGGTTATATGTGATAAAAGATGTTATGATGTCATTATCAGGTGAGTCGTGTCAGCCAAATAGCATGTTTGTGCATTCCATTTTAATTTTGTAACAGTGGTACTGTATGTCTTAAGAAACTTATCTTTTGTTATAAAGAATATATTGTCAGAGATGCTGTTTGCAAATATTTTAATGGATTCTTGTCATTGAATTATTGATAACTATCTCACCCTCTCACAATTTACCAATTCGTTGTAGAGTTTTGGAGTTTAAGAATTTGAAAGAATGTAAGAGCACTGAGCAAGTGTAAGGATATTGTAACCCTTTCTTATCATCCAGATAGCGAAAATGAGGTTTTTTCCCCCACATCTATTTATTCAATAATAAATGTACTGATTTAAAACGATGAAAAAATCCTTGAAAATATTAAGTGTCTGCATTTATTTTTCTTGTTGCAATATATTAGCATTGGCAAATCAAAGCATTTAATCTTCACTTTAACACCTTTCTATTTTGAGGTGAAATAGTAATCGGTATGGGGCGTAACTTCATCCTTGAACAAGATTTTATCATGAAAATTGGCAGAGTTGACCACGAGTGTATAGGCTACAATCCTGTGCCGTCATTTTGGTTTAAACATTTTTGTTATAAAGTTATGCACACCTAATTGCAGATTTTCATATTACAAAGGCATTATTTTGCTTTATCAATGATAAAAGCTGAACAAAGACTTCTAAGAAAAATCGCTGGCAGGGTTTTAGAGTACTAGATGGTTTCATTAAATATGCGTTGAAACACTAATCGTGGGTGCTCAGGTAAAGCAGAAATTTGAGAAACCAATTCTGCAGTTTTTACCCCAAAATCGCAAATATGACATCACCCGTAAGATGACGTGTAAATGTTAATTAATTTAGTCACTGAACACTATCGATTACCCAAAAGAATGTATGCAAGGCAGTAAATAAAGAATTTTGGGTGAAGGATAAATACTGTTTTGTAAGTCTGTTATGGTTAATAGTCAGTTTTTATAGCCACTGTGATTTTTTTCCACAGGCAAAACTCCTCAGTTATTTCGCCATGACTTGGTGATGCTGGTGGCCAGGCAGTCCCACAGGTTGTCTTTGCCCATTAACAAAATACCTGAAAAATTAGTGCCAAGGTAAGTCAATCTCTTCTTCAGTGTTCGAGGTTATTTTTCTGTATACTCTGTTTCACAGTTCAGATCCCTATTTCACAAAAACTGTCACAAGTCAACTAAGGTCAAGGAAGCTATAATTTAACATTCTTTGTGAAATGCCTGTAGTCTGTTACAGCAAAGTCAGCCTTGGTTAGTCCACCAGCTAAGTATAGTCGACTAAGGATTTTAGATTCTTTGTGAAACAGAGGCCAGGAGGGGATCAAAGGTGTTAACCTGAATTTTAGGGAGTTGACCAGATTCTTTATTTCTTATGGTAAAGTTGGTGATATGAGTTCTGTCTTGGCTACAGAAGACTGGTTAGAAGACTGCCTAACTTAATAACTAAAACAGCCATGCAGGAAGCTATGCAAATTGATCAGCTATATTTCATTACTTCGTTCTGTAGAATCTGCTTCTGGCAAGGCCTCTGGTAAACTGTTCCTTCTGTTGTCCCTTGGCTGTTATGTAACTTATTTCTTTACATCTCAGTAGACAGCATGATCATATAAGGACTAACTGAAGCATGTTTCTTTGCTTTGTGGAGAGGGGGGAATCACAGAAAACGTGTTTTAGTCATGTTTCAGTGTTTTGTTTAGAATCTTTGTAGCACACAATGAAGATTTTAAATTGGCAATACATTGTTTTGAACTGTTTTAGCTTTGTTTTTTTTTTATAAAAAGAGGTGGCTTTAGAATATATTGGAAGAGTGCACTTTTACCTATTTCAAAAGGTCATGTAAACTGGCATGGGATTCACTTGGCCTTGTTTTAATTCTTGTTTTTTAATCAGTTAACATAAGTTTTCATGGGAATAAAGCAAGTGTAAATAAAACAAAAAGTGGGGAATTGTTTTGTCCTCTTTCCAGGAAATGAACTTTTTTCCAGCCGATTCCAAGGCACTGAAGAACAGCACTTGGCACAACCACTGGAATATCAATTTCTTGAATGAGCTGATGTAATGAGGATACAATATTTTGCTGGAAAGGTTGTCATATAGAGTCCAAACAACTTAAGTTGTGAATCAGATATAACCAAAATTAAATGTCAAACTAATGTTGTTTTTTGGTTTTCTTTTAAGAAAATTCATCCCCACAACCAAAGTCCCCGACACCAAGGGCTGCTCCAGATGTTGTGTAGGGAGGAATCCATACAATGGGTACAAATATCTGTGTGGTGCTCTCCCCAACAGTGTCATCTTGATGCAGTGGTATGATCCACTTAACAAGTTCATGCTATTGAAGGTATGAGTAACAACATCTGGCCTTATTTCAAAGTATTAAAACTATTCCTAGTGACTAGAATTGTGAAAGCTTTTTCTGAGAGCTTTGGCCTGTATGAGTGGCCTGTATCATGCTGACATATATGATATATAAGATATATGATAAGTTCTGCCTTTTTTGTTGAAGGGTGGACTGTCNATATTTATTTTTTTTTCTTTTGGAAGATCATCAAAATAGAGGATGGATCAACAAAGATACTTTGGAATACTGTCAGAAAATATCTCTGGGTCAGCTCCTGTTATTGACCATGTTACCTGTTGTGCATGATTAAAATTCAGTGTTGACTAACAGTGCTATTATAAGAATTATTTATTATTGCATCAAAATTGGCAAAATGACCTATTTTGCATCTTTATTTTCTGTTTTTTGTCTGTACATTTGACAGCTTTGCTGCCTTGTCCTAATACTGCAAGGAAATGTTACGTGTCTAAATTGACATGGATGCTTAAAATATCATATGTGTATGAAATTTGACACTGGTCAATAAAGATGAAAAATCGTTCAAAATACCAAGCCAATGTCAGGCCCTGGGCATCATACATTTGAAAGGTCTGTCTCATTAGAGTTACAATATAAATTAATTTCATTTTCAGAGTACATGTATGTCTTTATTTTCTTTATACAGGAACGGCAAAACTGCTAATCACATGAATTGTTTCAGAAAGATCCTGAAACATAAAATGGTTTATACGCTTATTTTCCCACCCTTTTTTCTCTTGGTGATCAGCAAATTTTTTTTTGATAAATGAAAAACAGACTGTGGAAAACAAAATAACAAAATTAACGTTTATTACACAAAGCGACACTTCAACTCAAACGTTAAAGGCACATATCAAGGAAGCGTGCATACAGAGACCATACTTTCATACACCCGTACCTCTTTGTATAACATTTTGTAACTCTCCTTTTGTTGATGTATTCTGCTAAATTACACTTCCACCAATATGATAAGGACATATGCCTAAAATATATAGTAGTTTGGTTTAAATAGTGACTTTAAATTTAAGATGTCTCCTTATTTAGGTGATGTTACTGGGTTGCTGCCCTAATGTTTTGCATTTTGGAACTCTGCCCATATCAGGCGATTTTATACTAAACATGATGTTTCTTCTTATCAACCATGTCAAAGAAGTGCTGTTCAGATATACAAGTATTTCTTGAATATTATAGCATACTATATCAGTGTAAGACTAAAAGCGCCTATATATTTTAACATGTGTGCAAATTCAAATAGCCATGCAAGCATCATATATTCGATAAAAGACAAACCAATACAAACCACCACCCTCTCTCTCTCTCTCTCTCTCTCTCTCTCTCTCTCTATATATATATATATATATATATATATATACAATATATTTCAAAATATTTTCTACTTATCATATGCAGCTATCTAAAGTAATGATAATATCACATTATATTTTATATGAATAAAAATCAAACCACTCTACCAACCAATCAACAATAACATTCACATAAACAGAAATAATAATATGTTGATAATTTTTTTTTCCTTTCAAAAAGAACATTGATCTTGAGTTTCTGGGCTTAGGTGATAACTGAACACCAATTTCTATTTTAATTATTGAATGAAATCAAACAAATATTTTTAGTAAAGTTTAATTTACGCCGGTAATAAAAAAATGCATTTTTAAGCTTGTATACAATTTGTTAGGTCACTTTTTTGTGACGTGACATGTTCAAAGCATGTTGCCTCCTTCAGTGTGATTAACGAAGTTACATGTTCCGAAAAGTTGCCTACCGTTCTACTAAATAGCAACTAATAGCACAAGTTTACACAGCCCTTCATTCGACCATCTTAACAAATGTAGCCCCATTCCGACATACACCCTTCCCGCTGAAGCGATACTTGACCACGGCTTTGTTGCTGTCGTTGTCATCCACCTTGGCATTGGCGTTGAAGCTCTCAAGTGGAACATACAAAGATTCCAAGTCTTCAGAAACGTAGCATCTCAGGTACATTTCCGTCATGTTGGACAACTTGACGTCATCTGTGTTTGACTTAATGCGTTGGAGGGAGGAAGCAAACTTTTGGAACCCATCCTCTGGCATGGCCCATATATCATTCAATAACGAGACATATTTATTCCTGACTTTGTCTGTAATTAAGAAAAAAACGTTTTGTTGAATAAATAAACTTCGATCAAAGTTGCTTATTTGGAACTATAACAAATGCAATATGATTAATAAGTATAATTAACCCGACAGACGGGCTTTTTTTTCTCAAAACATTTAGCAGAATAAATACATAAACGGCCCAAGTGTAATACAAATATCAGAACTGTTAAATACCACTAACCCAGGCATGCGTTCAGCTGATGGTCCTTCAGAGCCTGGAACAGGTCATGGGCGGTCGCTCCAGCCGTCCTTTCTTTCCACAGCCACAAAATCTGGAAGGATTGCTCCTGAGCATCGCGTTGGTACTCATACTCTATGTTGTCTAGCTTGGCGTCTGGGATTTCCAGCTGTGCACGTGCCAACATGCGGACATCTCTGAGAGACACGTGGTTACTTATCGCTATAATCAACTCGCGGAGTATATGGGCCTGAAAAAAAAATTGACCTTGACGTTCTAGATCTTGACTGAGCATGCTGACCACCAGAAAAAATAATAAAAGAGAAAATTAAAGGGGAAACAAAAACCGAAAATAAGGATAAAAAAGGAAGCACATTATGACTTTTTCCTGATTACTTTACAAATGAAGAATTATTACATCATTTGACAGCACTAACCTGTATTGGTGGCAAGGCATATCTATGCAGCGATATCTCAACGTGTATATGGCCCTTTTTTACAGCCACGTCATATGCTGTTTCTTTGTCCTACAATAGTAAGGTTCCACTATAAATATTCAGTCGCATCATTTCCATAACTTCGATTTTGAGATTTGATATATTGTATTTTTTACATGAGTTCTGTAGAATCAACATTTACAAGAAAATAACAATATGCTTACATCTGCAATGATGCATCTCCAATGATTGGGAAAGGAATCATAATGTGCATGTATGGTACCATCATCATTATCATGTATGTTACCAACCAAGGTATTTTATCTATATAATAGTATGTGTCCACAAACCTCATCGGTGATATGAGGATCAGCTCCATGCTCCAGGAGACGCTTCACGGTGTCTTCATGGCCGAAAAATGCTGCCCCATGTAAAGCAGTTATGCCACACTGGTAACAATAAATAACTACTATAATGATAATATCCCAATTTGTCTTTCTTCACATTTCATTCATATATTTTATGTGTGCTGATAAAGGTAACCCTAAGTTGAAATAATACAAGTTAATATTCAATACTGAAACGCTTCCTTTGCCAACGAGAGCAAACAATCTAAAGAAGGAGAAATCATACAATGCGTATATAAAGAGGCACTTCAATATTTGCATGTGATGTCCTGTCTCATGTTTTCATTATTTATTTTGTATAAACTTATTCTTACCAAACAATTATAAGAGCAAAATGTATCAATTCTTTGCAATAAAATAGTCGGAGTATACAAACTCTAAATGTAACAAACCAAACAACTATCTCCAGGGTACTTTGTTTATATAACATAATATGTCACTTACCTTATTCGTGATATTAGGATCAGCTCCATGCTCCAGGAGAAGCTTCACGGTGTCTTCATGGCCTCCATACGCTGCCCCATGTAATGGAGCCCAGCCATACTGGTAACAACAAATGATCGGCATAATGATATCATCTCATGATGTATTTCTTCACATTTTATTCATTTATTTAAATCATGTGTTGGATTAACTAACGTTTTGATTTAAAAAAAAGTGCTCATCTATATCAGCAGTCAAATGCTTACAGGGCGAATGTTGACAAATGGCAAAAGAAATATCATAATGTGCAAGTAAAGGTAATACATTTTATTAATGCAAGGAAAGGAAAAGGTTTCATTTGCACCTAACTGTTTACGTGTAACACCAGTCCCATGTTTTCTTTCTTTACATATCTTTTCACTCATTATAACCAGATAAAAAGTAAATAATAAAACAAACAAATTAAAGTTTATGACAAAACAGTGGAAGTACACGTATACCCTCCTTATGTCTATCAAACAAAGCACACGGTAGTTTATCTATACAACAGTACATGTACTGCCACAAACCTGATTCGTGATATTAGTTATTGCTTTTGGCTTACTTTTCATATTATTTTTAAACGGTAATTATATAATAAAATTAAATAAACAAATTTAATCAATTATTCTAAACACTGTTTAAATGGATCATCTATTCAACAAAATACAGTTAACATGTATGTTACCAAGCAACTAAGGTCATTTTGTGTATATATTATTATGTGTCCACAAACCTTATCCGTGATATTAGGATCAGCTCCATGCTCCAGGAGAAGCTTCACGACGTCTTCATGGCCGTGCAATGCTGCCTCATGTAAAGGTGTGCTGCCCCACTGGTAACAATAAATAATCTCCATAATGATAATATCTGATGTTGTCTTTCTTCACATATCATTCATATATTGTACATGTATGTAAGGAAAGAAAATGGATTAACTTGCACCTAACTGTTAACGTGTAACACCGGTCCCATGTTCTCTTTCTTTACATTGTATTCACTTATTATAACCAGATAAAAAGTACATAATTAAACAAACTCATCGATCGTTTATGACAAAACAGTGGAAGTACATGTTTACTTTCCGTATGTTTATCAAACCAGCCGACAAAGTCCACGTTAATTTATTTATACAACAGTACATGTATGTGTCACAAACATTATTGGTGATATTAGGATCATCTCCATGCTCCAGGAGAAGCTTTACGATGTCTTCATGGCCTTTATATGCTGGCTGATATAAAGGAGTTCTGCCACACTGGTAACAACAAATGATCAACATTATGACATCATATGACGTCGTCTTTCCTCACATTTTATTTGTTTNTAAAGTAAAAAAAAGAGATTGAAAAAAATAATAATTATGTTAATTTAAATAATACTGTTTAACAAAATACCGAGTGTGTGGCCTACAGTATGCATGTTGTGCATGTATTGCAATATGTGTCTCAAGTACTAGTATCCTAAATAAATAAAAAATATATAGACGATTTGTTCTAACTGGCAACTGACTTCAAAAACGGTGAAATGAAAAAAAAAAAGTTAAATATCTGTCCCTGGTTTGAATACACCATAGTCAAAGAAAGGAAAAATACATACCCGTATTACCCAACTCGCTAACACAATACACCATGCATACACAAAACAATGGAATATTCGAGGTTTTCATGGAAAATATACACGTTGGGTTATCTGTAGCACTACACTACAGAATTTGAAGCTCCCATATCATATTAATACAGTATAAATATAATTATACATAAGTATCGCACGAACGGAAATGGGCGTAAAAGTCACACGCATGCGTCTTACCGCGTTCTCGGGATTAACTTTAGCCCCGCTGTCCAGGAGTAGTTTCACCATATCTGCATTGCTTGTCAGCACTGCTATGTGTAGAGGAGCCCTACCAAACTGGTGAAATCAATACCATATATTATAATTAGGTTTATATACTAGACCATTTTCAATTTATCTCAATATTTCTGTAATCTTTGAAAAATGAAGTATTGTTCCGGCTCCAGCTACTGTGGCCAGCGTATGATCATCACCTGTAATTAATACTCTCTGACCATCATTTGTATTATTTGTTTGGGCGTAATTACCAACAGACCATAGCTACTAATAAGAATAGCGGTATACATGTAGCCTACCAAGGTTCCTCACAGGGTGATATAACTTGTAGGTACATGTATAGTTCGTTAGTATTTAGGACATAAATACCACGAATTCTACCACGAATACTCTGTAACAGGAAAAAGGAAAAGTGCCCTTTGGCCACAAGGTTTGTTAGCATATAGGCTTAATGAAAAAAAAAAAAAAAGAAAAAGAAAAGAAAAAAAAACTTATTAGGACAATCTGCTCTTCTATAGCAAGAAGTTTGCAAGATGTCCGCAAATGAGACTGGGGGATTACCGTGTGAAGAAAAACTTTGATCTAAGACGCACGTCGCAAGCAATGAAGAAGCAAGTGCCACCAGCGTTTTAAGTACGGCGCACGCCCTCACAACTTCCAAACTTAAAGCCTCTCTTACAACCCGTCGTGCGTGCTTAGAGATCGTGCGTTGTCGGAGTTCTTGTCAGGCGTAGCGTTGTCGCAGGATGAACATTTAATCGCAGCGGACGTAATTAGTAAGTACTTTATGATTAGGTGTGTCGCGCTCTAAGCGTGGGGCCCGCAAGAGGTCTGTACGCCTTTTTTGGAAGTAGGAAGACGTAAGGAGCACTTGCGATCTGTACTTCTGTCGCACACAGTGGGTGAAATAATGTACGTGTACTGCAAGTGAAGCGTGCGTTTTCAGAAATCGTACTTACGAAGTTAGAGAAACGTTAGAGAAACATAATGAGTACGGAAGTGTTAAGCACGACACTCGTGCGTCAAATTGGTGGAAAACACGGATAATCAAAATAACATAAAAGGGAGCACCGAGTCTCCTATCTTTCACTGTTTTGGCTTTCAAAATGCCACTTCCTAACTGAGAGCAGACTGTTCGTATCAGCTGTGATATAGGCGCACGATGCAACTATAAGCAAGTACTTGTGACGCACTTATATCGTGCTGGTCAAGTGCGTCGTCTTAGTGTGACGCACTTCACAAGTACGGTAGAAGTACTCAAAACGCACCTTGGAAGTAAAATAAACGCACGGAGGAAGCGCGCTCACCCCCCCCCCCCCCCCCCTTTTTTGTTAACACGTGCATTGAAAGCAAGTTGAACGTACGAGTCTTTTACGTGGTAAGTACATTGTTTTCGTGGTAAAATACCCCGGGATTTCTGCATACCTTTCATGCGTTACACGCACGCCTAGCGCACTTCCTTAGTAATTTTGTCTTGCGTGCTACGAGTGTGCTCCAGGCGTTCTAATTGTCGCAGACAGGTCGTAGCGAAAAACTTGCCGGCCAGTTTTCGGGCTGCGTGCTTTGCGTTGTGTTTACGTCCACCAAAAAGAGTACGTTTCACGTGCGTGTATCTTACTACTTGGCCAATTTTTTTGCACGCAAACCGCTCGTAGAAGCGCGCACGACCGGTTTTAGGAGTAGCTTAATCAAAAGCAGTGCGGGAGTGCGTCATCCGCCTTCCACGCTCTCCACTGCACCCACAACTCGCAGAGAGGGTCCGACCCTGAAACCCGTGCGCCCGGTTGTCACCTAGGCCTCAAAGGAAAGAATAAAACACAAAATGAAATAATAAAAAAAGAAAGATAAAAGAAGAATAAATTATAATCAGATGTCAAAATGACCTTGCTGGGAATGATCGAGCATAAACCACCATACAGAATGATATATCTTCCTACATGAAAACAAACAATACTTGGGTGAAAAACAATGATAATACGATCATCATTGCTTACATTATATGAAAATGCTTTAGATAATCTGGAAGATTAACTGGGTCAGTGCAACGAAACTGAGGGTCCGTGAAATAGAAATTCCGCCCTCTATTTAGTTATGACGGCTAGGGTTAAATTGACCCTGAGTGGGTCACATCCTAGGTTAAGGCTTATATGTACAGATTAATGGCATATCGAAGCAAACTCTATCACGGAGGACTCCCTCTCACGAGATCCTACTAGATACATGTATAATGAGCGTTGCTAAAGGTGTGGAATCGTTTGAAATTCCAACTGTACAAGAATGCATACGTCTCAGGTGTCGGGGTGGATTGCCATGGCTAGTAAAAATTGCTTTCTGGAGGATAAGGTTTGTGTCCTGCGTAGGAAGAAGATTATAAGGAAAAGCAAGACAAAAGGATGCGCAAAAAATGGATAAATGCTGTTGCTATTAGTTTCATTGAGAGCATATTTCGGGAAAGACCGCGATGTTTATGCTCCACCAGATACCTGATGGTCATTGATTACACAAAATTCACTTTCACATATATACGCTGACGGTACTCAGCTGTATACTCCCTGTGACATCAAGAATCGTGAAAAAGCAGTATTTCTAACCGCAGGGTTTGCATTGGAAAGAACACATTAATGATACATGTAAAGACAGCAAAACGGAAATATTGAGGATCTCGCTGCCTCGACGCATGCCAGATTTCCTATACGAAACTAGGACACCGGCAAAGTACATTTGATAGAAATAATAATAATAATAATAATAATAATAATAATAATAATAATAAGGAACACCTAGATTTCTGTGTGGAGCTACTACTTTGGAAAACTGTGAAAGATCTTCACCCTAAAATCAAATCTATGTATGGTCTCCAATCTACTTTAAATTTGAGCTAGGAAGCCATTAAAAATGATCTATTGCGTGTCTTATGAAAAGAAGCGACAGTGAAGCCTAGAGGTAGAACAAAAAGTTATTTATAGAACATGAATATGTTTTTATAGCAAAGATGTATTTATGAATGCATTCTTATGATCGATAGACATAATCTACAATGTAGTGAAATACAGAAACAGTACGTACCTCAGGATCCTGGGAGTTTACATCATATCTCCCATCACTCAGCAGTTGCTTCACCTTGTCAGTATCACCACGACCCACAGCGTCAATGAGATCCATGGTCCGATGTGGTAGAAAGACGGCTCTGTAAGAAGATTTCACCAGAAACACAGCCTCAACGAGATCCATGGTTCGATGTAGTAGAAAGACGGCTCTGTAAGAAGATTTCACCAGAAAAGGATCGCTTTATGACATATGTGGCATTATTTTTTTCATCTTGAGCATGAAACGTGGGTTTTACATTTTTACACTAGAGCTTGTGCGCCGAATGAATTTTATGGGT